CAACTCCTTCCGTGGCATCTGTTGCAACGTCAACTGAAGAAATTGGATCAGGAGACTCTACTCCTGATATGTTTTCCTCAAGTTCTACCATTTTAGCAGAGGCCATTTCATCAGGATCTCCTAAATCAATTCACACCACGCCAAAAGAAACATCAGAATCAGTGATGACTCAACATTCAGAATCAACAGACATATTTGGAACAGCTACCAAAGGAAGTACAAAACAGCCAACCGTCACAGCTGCTTCTTCACTATACAGCACTGAGAAACCAACATCATCTTCAGACTTAGCTCATACTGGTGCCAGCAGTGAAGTGCCTAAACCCTCAATGTCATCAGTCTCAACATCGTCTGATGACTATGGATCAGGCGACATAACTCCTGATATGTTTACCTCAAGCTCCACCATTTTAGCTGGAACTCTTTCTTCCACCTCACCACAGTCAGTGTACACGACAACAAAAGAGACATCAGAGTCTGCAATGACAAAGGAATCTGAATCATCAAGTCAAACTGTTGTTGAATCTACATCTACAGGTACACAATGGTCTTCATTACAAACAGAATCACCAACCAAAGACACCACTTTACAGCCAACAGGAACTCCTGCTTCTTCACAATATAGCACTTGGAAACCAACATTATCTTCAGACTTAACTCATACTGGTACCAGCAGTGAAGTATCAACACCTTCCATGGCATCTATTGCAACGTCAACTGAGGAAGTTGGATCAGGAGACTCAACTCCTGATCTGTTTTTCTCTAGTTCTCCCATTTTAGCGGAGGAAATTTCATCAGAATCTCCTAAATCAATTCACACCACGCCAAAAGAAATATCCGAGTCAGTGATGACATCAGAATCATTAGAGACATTTGGAACTCTTTCTTCCACCTCACCACAGTCAGTGTACACGACAACAAAAGAGACATCAGAGTCTGCGATGACCGAAGAATCTGAATCGACAAGTCAAGCTGTTTTTGAATCTACATCTACAGGTACACAATGGTCTTCATTACAAACAGTATCACCAACCAAAGACACCACTTTACAGCCAACAGGAACTCCTGCTTCTTCACTATTTAGCACTGAGAAACCAACATTATCTTCAGACTTATCTCCTACTGGCACCAGCAGTGTAGAATCTACACCATCCGTTGCATCTTTTTCAACGTCAACTCTGGAAGTTAGATCAGGAAACATAACTCCTGATATGTTTTCCTCAAATTTCCCTCTTTTATATGATACCATTTCAGCAGAATCCCCAACATCCCCTCACTCCACGCCAAAAGAGACATCAGAGTCGGTGATAACACAACATTCAGAATCAACAGAGACATTTGGAACAACTGCCAAAGGAAGTATAATACAGCCAACAGTGACTCTTCCTGTTTCACTCTACAGCCCAGATAAAACAACATCATCTTCTGATGTAGCTCATACTGTTACCAGCAGTGAATTATCGACAGCGTCTATTGCATCATCCACATCTGTGAGGACATCCTTCCCACCAGTTTCGCTGTTGACACAAGACTCTCTTTCTAATACTATAATTACCATCTTCCATCCAGAAATAGCAACTGTTCCCAATAAAAATACAACTTTTAGAGTGTCACAGCTTTTGTTTGAGACTAAAGAACCATCTATCACGGTCAATGTAGAGAAGAGTGCGACAACCAGACCAATCAAAATGGAAACAGAACAATCCACACAAGAGTCAATGGTAACACAAGAATGGGTAACTCCAAGTAAAACCTTTGAGGAAACTGGGACTACCGGTTATCTTGGTTATTCATCAGTAATGGAAAGGGAGACTTCCAGCCAATCAACAAGCAAAAGCTCAATTCCTCCAGTTTCTTATTTGTTAACTGCAGAAACAACAACTACTGAAGTTGTCACTGAAAAATCAATCCAACTGCTAACAACTGCTCATAAAACACTACAACCCACCCGTTACTCAGTCCTAGATAGCACTGATAAGACAACTGTAACAAAACTACTGCAAACTACTGAGAATAATGCTTTTTTGAAAGTTACCCAAGAAACACAATCCTCTATAAAACCAGCATTAGACGGTATTGGAGCAACTAAGCCTTTTGTGTCATCCACATATTTTACACGTACAGATGAATTTCCGACCTCTGACCACATACAAAGCCCCAGCATGTCAACATCTAAATGGCCTATTATTGATCCAGACATGGAAAGTTCTACCAGTGCACTGGATGATGGGGATTTAGAAACAAGTCAAGACGGTTCCGGTGAGGTGTCTTTCACAACCTCAAAACCTTTTGTGAGATTCACTGTGACTACAGACAAAACTGAAATTGATGACAGCACTATCCAAAGAGACAACATTCGCCAAACAGATACAAAGCCCACTGAACAATATACAAAGATGCATGTCACCACTTTTCAGTCCTCGAGTGTGACGGAGAATGGCAGTGGCGTAATTACCGACCACACTTCTGAGGAGGCCTTTTTTGACGATGAATCAATCACTCCTGAAGCACAATCTACAGTTGCTACAATACGATCAACTTCATTATTGAGTTTGCCAACAACTGCTGAGCAATATGTCCAATCAGAGATAACGTCTCACGGTCCTAGATCTACAATAGGGATGTCCCCTAACATTGTTCCGTTTTCTACTGTAGAGTCTGATTCCATAGTTACCTCCCATACAAGAGTGGAGCCAAACAATACAGAAGAATCAACAATAGAGCCGGTGTACTTAAAACCAACCACACTAGTGTTTAGCACAGAAGAGGATCAAACCAGAGTAACTAAGCCCTCCATTGCATCACTTGAGACTACAAACTCTCCACGCACTGCTGAAATTCCCAGACCGGCAACTGGTACATCTTCACCTGTAACTAATATGTCTTCTAACAAACCAGAAGGAATCGCAGTGACATTTGGGGAAGCAACAGGCGAAACCGAAACATTTGTCTCACACACATCGAAGCTAGTACCCAAAGTTCATGAAGTAGAAAATATTTCAAATATGCCTTCAATTGAAAGTACCAAAGTATTTTTTTCCCAGTCTCAAATTTCTACAATTGATGACAGTGAAACTAGAGACTTGATCACTATCAGACCAATCACTGCACACATAAAGGGGGAAGTCATCCCAGTTTCCACACCCATTCCCTCAATTACTTACCATGGTTTCACAGACCAGCAAGTTGTCATAATTAATTCTAGTGGTGACCATGTTAGAAATGACAAAACAGATCAAACTTCTACAATGGTTCTGCATCCATCCCCGAGCTTATCAGAAATACTAACAGATGTAAGTTCTGAAGAAGACAATATCTTTCCAACTCTCATTCATTGGCCAGTTATCAATACAAATACAGTCTCTGACCACATGTTTCAAAGTAAAAACGAAGAGGATACTACAACAACTGCAAAGTTGGTAGTTGAACAGGAGATGGAGGGTTCTGGATTTGACCCGACAAACACTCTCACCTCTGAATCAAATGTGTTGTCTTCCACTAATGCACCCCTACTATCAATGTCTGTAGATTACACAAAACCGGACTTTCCAAAGGATGTTACCCAATCTCCATTTGGATCCACCAAGTCTAGCTCAAAGGAAGTATTTACAAAACAGCTCCCTAGCCTAATGACAAAGTTTGTTACACCTGAAGTAAGAGTGCCATTACATACCACAGCGGTTTCTCCAGATCCTAGGCACTCAATTATTCCTCAGCAAAGCAGTCAGTTTGCATCAACTGCTTCAGATAAAGAACAAACAGAATATACAACTGCTTCAAATAAAGAACAAACAGAATATACAACAAATGTTATCTCCAGCACAGTTTCATTGAGAAGTACAATAATTCCAGACAAAAGTGATGGGCCTGTCTTCACACCAGTGTCACCCGTAACTAGTGCTAAGGTTTCCAGTAGAACAGTGCCATCACAAAGTGTCTCATACAGTGGTGTTTTATCAACTACAGATATCACAGATCAGAAAGTTATCTCCTCATCAACAACTCCTTCGAATGAAATAGAAATTAAATTTATAACATCATTTGTTCCAGAATTAGACACAACAGATTCAGATGTGTTCCAACATGCAAGGTCAGAGATTGCATCTACTCATTATCCTTCATTTGAAAGTTCTGACAAAATAACGCTGTCTATAGCAACCCAGTCTTTACCCACTTTACCAAGTCATCTTTCTACCTTTCATAGTCAAAGAGGAGACCAAAATTTAGAAAATAAAACACCAGTGGATTCTGCTCATCTATTGCCCTCTCTAAGTCCACATGGAATTGTCTCAGAGGGGTCACAACTACCCAGTTCTGAAGCACCAGCAATACCAAGTGGCCAGATTTCTATAGAGTCAGGAACACAGACTTCAGAAGCAATAAAAACAGATTCTGAAAACACTTTTTCAAAAGATGACACTAAACTTAGAACTACACAAACACCAGATATAACATACACAACAACAATTCACCCCTACTCAGCTACTCTTTCAATCGACAAGTTTGATGATGAAGCCCCAGATTATTCAAATATTGGCCAAGTTGAAGCGCTGCCAGGAAACCCGTTTGAGACCTTTACCCCCGAAAATCCGTCTGTAGCAGTTACTGCAATGACACACACTTTAACATCCATTAGTGACACAGGCTCTTCCAGTTCTGAAAGCAATAGTTCAGAGGAAAACCTACAAAAATCAACTTCAGAGATGGATGGTCAAATGAAAGCAACAGAGTTAGGTATATCAAGACAGCCTACTGTAAGTCCCTTTAACGTAAATACTTTAATTAATGGGACACTTTTGGAAGATGTCTCTTCATCCCAAAAAGAAATTCAGACAATATTCAAAGATCAAACAACCACTTTGGAAAATTCAGAAATCTCTATACCTACTTTAATATCCCAGGCCGAAGTTCAGACCAAACCAACAGATACATTTAAACCCACGACCCGTTCATTCTCTGTGGAGAGGCTTGATCATATCAGCGGCACAAAGGCCCCAGCCATGGTAGGAGGAGAACCAGACATAACAGGAGATACAACAGTACCAGTGCCGGGGTTGAGCCACACAGTTATTGGTGAAGCTGTTGAAATTCCAGGTATACTTGCACATTCATGGAGTATGTCAGTGTCTTTTATAGAAATGTGCATTCATATTATGGTGTTTTTAGGGATTTACTCTTGCACAGACAATGACTGTCTCAACGGTGGAACTTGCTACAAAACCAGCAGCGTCCACACATGTAGTTGTGTGTCTGGTTACAATGGTGCTTTCTGTGAAGTTGGTATGTACCCTTCTGAATGCTATGCTATATCTGTTTGATTTCATTTCATCATGACTCTGATTCTTACTCTAAATGTCCTGCATAGAAATTGATGAGTGTCATTCCAATCCTTGTCGCAACGGAGGTACATGTATTGATGGTGTAGCTAGCTTCACATGTGTGTGTCTCCCAAGCTACTCTGGACTATATTGTGAGGAAGGTACGTATATTTTTCTTACTTCCATGATATCGACTCCATTACATAAATATGGTCAGCTCTACTGTAAAAATATTGACAACCCTGGTCCACATTTTACCTTAAATGTGCATTTCTCAACTCTGCTGGTGGTCAACCGCTCTAAAATTTACAACTTTTAACTTAGCCTAGTGAAGTCACATGTATATGACTAGTATATTATACTAGGTAAAACAACAAAACTTAAACAAGCAAACAAACAAATTGCGGCTGCCCCTCCTCAAATTGAAATGTAGATTTTTCTATGATAAAAAGATCACTTTGACCCACTGCAGTTTGAAGAAAATTATTTTGCGAACCAAGGTTTGAGAAGTGCACTGCTAATGAAGCAAAAAGTGTGAAATTATTTAAAATTGCAGCAATAAATATTTATATAAACAGTTTATATAGTCCCATTTAATAGTTGTACAGCCCTTAAATGCTGTTTGACAATAAAGCTGAATCGTAAAGCTTGAGTAGCAAAAAAAGAGGCTGAATTATATCATTGCTCAGATGCTCAAATGCTTTCTAAAGTTATTTGTATTTGAATATTCAGTACAATCAGAAAAGTGTAACTGAATAAGTTTGTCTGTTTCTAAACTTTTTGCTCTGTGATCTCAAACATAATAAAGTGGGAGCCTCTGCTGAAATATTCTGATCCGGGTCTACACCCCAAATATTGTCTGGATTAGTCATTACTTGCCCACACCCTTGTGCATATTCACTCACAGCTGTCTGACTTCAGTACCATCTTAGTCGTGATAAATACATTTTTGACAAACGCTCTTAACAAATGTATTAAAAATGACATAATTATGAGTTACTCCAACCTAATTTTAGTGTTTAACATATATGATAGTTGTTTGGCCAATATCTTAAGTGTATCTTGTGCTTGGTCATTGACATTGAAATGAAGCATCCCTCTGGTCTCCTTGTACTTTTAGATACAGAAACCTGTGACTACGGCTGGCACAAGTTCCAGGGACACTGTTATAAGTACTTTCCTCAGAGAAGAAGCTGGGACACAGCAGAGAGAGAGTGTCGAATGCACGGCGCTCACCTCACCAGCATCCTGTCCCATGAGGAACAGCACTTTGTGAATCGTGAGTTCATCATCCAACCTACTCCAACTGTTCACAAATGTACTATCATTGAAGCTTAAACTGTTTTGCTCTAAGGTCTTGGACAGGACTACCAGTGGATTGGCCTAAATGACAAGATGTTTGACAATGACTTCCGATGGACAGATGGCAGACATGTGGTAAGCCCGGTTTGCTGAATTATTTTATGTATGTTTTGGAATTTTTTCCATCATACTATAATGATGGAAAAACTACATTACATGGAGTTTTGGAATTATAATGAAAGTATGTGTGTGTGTGTGTGTGTGTGTAATGGCAAACGGTGTTGGTCATGCAGGGAGTGTGGCTAGGGTGACGGAATTTTAACATAGCACATAATTGAATGATACTGGCTGCTAAGAGTATAAAAAAGTAATAGAACATTATACTATTATACATTCATATATTGATGCATCAGAGACACAACTTCAGGGAATAGAGCCGGACAACTCAAGGGGACAGTCTGGGTGGGACGGGACATATGATGAACAACACCTGTAGTAAGCTGCTGAAGCACAAACAAGAAGCTCTCACTGTGTGGTCTCTTACTGCTATGATTCTAAGTACACACATGCACACACATGCACACACACGCACACACACGCAAACACATGCACACACATGCACACCCACGCACATACACACATACACTCACATACACATAAATGCCTACTAAGCGGAAGAGGCAAGCTCACAGCCTGTCAGAGATCGTTTGAACCTTGATCATTGCTGAAAGAGCTCTCGTGAAAGCTGCAACAGCTGTGTGTATACTAAATGTGTAAGCACACCTTTGGGAATGTGAAATGTTTTAAGCAAAAAAAATCAGTTTTTGACAGCAATTTGCAATAACTTTTATCCTGTTGTCTTTTATTCCCATGTCTATTGCTTTTGATATTCATATTTTATTATATCTGTACAATTTAAAGCAATATGAAAACTGGAGGCCCAACCAGCCGGACAGTTTTTTCTCCTCGGGCGAAGACTGTGTAGTGATGATTTGGCATGAAGATGGCCAGTGGAATGATGTTCCTTGCAACTACCATCTTACGTACACATGCAAGAAAGGCACAGGTATTCTAATAATTTACCAGATAATCAAAGCCAACATTAATGGAGGCTAATTCAAATGTGTTGTTTTCAGTTGCATGCAGCCAACCTCCTCTTGTGGAAAATGCAAGAACCTTTGGCAAGAAGCGGGAGAGATATGAGATAAACTCTTTGGTGAGATACCAGTGCAGAAACGGTTTCATACAGCGACATGTGCCGACTATTCGCTGCCGCGGAGACGGCCGGTGGGATATTCCTAAAATATCCTGTATAAACCGTAAGTACAATTAAAAGGCTTGTATATGTCAACATTGTGCTCTAGTGTTATCTCAAAAGTTAATATGATCTTTTCTAGCTTCAGTATATCAGAAGAGTTATTACCGAAAGCATCAACACAAAAGTCTTTACAGTATCAACAACTTCCATCGTCGCCCGGACGAGCTAGCGCGCTTCCAGTATCCACTCTATCGCACACGGAGAGATCGGCATGAGCAGCGAAGGAAAAAAGTCGACCAATCCAACCAACTAACCCTAAGGCACAAAGTGAGAAAATGACTCAGTGGACTTTTTTCTCTTTTGAATTCAAATGGAACCGTTCAAAGTCACTTTAAAAAAAAAAAATCAAGTAGCACTGTTTTTCATCATTGCAAATTTGTATTTGAACTTTGAACTTGTCTTTTGAAGCATAGACACATTTTGCCACAGGGTTATAAAAACACATGATTACATACACATGTATTGTTTCTAAATTACATGGCGCTTAGAGTGATTTTTTTGTTAACAAGTTTGAACAAGCCGGATATGGCAGGTATAAAGCAACAGTTCCAGCACAAGTAAGGCATCAATTATTGTCTGGTGAGAAATTGATACAAGAAATTATAAGATAACTTTAAAAGTGTCCTTTTTCAGTAATAGAGCAGGTATGTAATGTCCTGTCATCCACAACCATCACAAACCGATTGCGTTACTTGTCATTGTTGTGCTGTTACTCAGAAACACTGTATTAGTTAAACCTCCTCTCTGCTTTTTTGTGCGAATGTATTAAAATACTCAATGACACTTGAATGACCGACTGAGACGCATCTAACTTATTTTCAAGCTGCTCTTCAACTCTGCTTAACCATCCCAGCAATGACCCTGAGGTGCTTATTGTATTAGTCCAGACAGAATCATGAACTGTTAAACTGGACGTTCAGAAGAGACTTTTCTGTCCTAGCTGTGGACCAAAGAATGGGTGTGGTCTGGCGACTGTAATAATAATGCATGTGCCAATCGTGCGGACACTCTCTGAAGTCTGCTGTGAATGTGTCTCTCGCCTCTATGTGCACATATCTATTTATAACTTTTACATTGTGAATGTCTGGGATGTTTGTGAATTATATTTTTTTAATATATGGTTTTCTGTTTTCAAAATGTTTTCAAAATAAAAAATACAATATAATATAATTGTTTTATTACCTGCTGAAAATGTCTTTTACCATGATGTTCAGCTAAAACATACTGACCTAATTTGTGTCAGTAAATAATGAGTCAACTGTTCTTTGACCAGCAGGTGGTGATGTGAGACCATTTACAATGAGACTTCATATCTACAGGGTTGGGGAGGAAAAAAAGATGAATGTTCATTATTGCTGTGACATTACATGTGTGAGCAAAAATAGAAATATTTTTAGAAAAACAGATTTTTTCTATTGCTTTATATAACTAAAATGTGAATGTAATACACTACCGTTCAAAAGTTTGGGGTCACATTGAAATGTCTTTATTTTGGAAGGAAAAGAACTGTACATCTCAATGAAGATAACTTCAAACTAGTCTTAACTGTAAAGAAATACACTCTATGCATTGCTTCTGTGGTAAATTACTATTCTAGCTGGAAATGTCTGGTTTTTGGTGCAATGTCGTAATTGCTGCAAATGGAGGATTCTTTGACAAAAGCAAAGTTTGATGTAAAACAAATCTCATTTCAAATACAAATCATTATTTCTAACCTTGTTAATGTCTTGACTCTATTTTCTATTCATTTCACAACGTATGATGGTGAATAAGTGTGACTTTTCATGGAAAATAGTTGACCCCAAACTTTTGAACGGTAGTGTATGTCCTCTCCTCTGGGAACCACCTGATAGTCGTTTGAAGGGCTCACTCTCTGTGATATAAATCAGCTCTGTGTGTTCAACATGCATTACCTGTTTCACTAAACTTCCTCTTACATGAATTTAAATAAATTTAGATGCTGTTTTTCTGCCAAAAAAAATTGGTGTATTTTCATGCACACTTTTATTCTGTACCTCTGTGTCTCCCAGAATCTGACCCAGTTCCCATGATTCCATGCATTCAGCCTTTTAAGACGGTCCTTTTGTTCTTTACATAGTCACTGCTTGTGGTTTTCTTCATGCAATGCAATTTACATGATTAAAGAAGAATTGGGAGTGTATAACAGACCCTGAATCATTATGGTTAAACAAAAGACTTTCTTAAAAATGAGATCAACAGAAGTGCTCCAAAGACTCTTCTTACACCTTTTATGTCAATGGGTTTTCATTTTTCAGCTGTTTTTCCTGAATTATTCAGGGGTTTTCTATATAGTATAATCATTATTAAGGCACACATTTTAAAATCTATTTATTAACAACAAAAATACAATTAGTGTCAAATACATTTTGATAATAATTGTTAAACATAAACATTGTATAAAAACATTGGGATTGGGAAAATAGTCACAGTACAAACATTCATTTTATGAATAGAAAACCTACTAGAAATCCACCACTGTTTAAGATATGAAGAGGGCCTAGTTCTGGTGTCACAATGCCAGTATTTTATCATTGTGACAACAGAAGCATTATTACCTCATCCGTTTAGTAACAAGCTGTCATCCTTATTTTTCTGTTGTTGTCTCAAACTTAGATGACGTTCCGTTACCATTAAGTTCTTGTCTTTATTCTATTCATTGCATTTTCACACAAAAAGGCTGTCACTTGAAATGTGTGGAGAAGTGGCCTTTCAAATGTTGTCAACACAATAAGGCTGGACGACTGATATTGATGAGAACACTAAGTATATCACAGGGAGACTATGGGAGAGTTCATGCGAGTTAGCATCCAAAGCACATTTGCTCTTTTGTTGGTGAGCTGTGGTTGTTGCTGCTCTTTGGTGGTTATGTCTTCACATTTACTCATCTTTAGCATATAGATGACCTTTTCATTGCTCCTCCTTGTAACAGTAGACACCATAAAGCTTTTGAGCCTTGTCTGGAAAGCCTGACATACGCACCGCAGCCTCAGTTGGGCTGCAGTTCTTGCGAGGCCTCGAGATGGGGTAGCGAACACTTCCATCAGCTAACCAGCCAGCATCACAACGATCAAAGTTTTCCATCTTCCATGCAGCATACATCTGGCCAACTTTGGCAATTTCTGCTCCGTCATCTATACAAGCCTGCACTGCTTCATCAAAGCTGAGTCTCTCTGGCTGGACCAGCCAATAGAAACGGCCTGCAGAGAAGACAATGCAGTTAGAACGGCCTAATTATAAGTATAAATATTATTTATCGTTTTATTTGGGTTGTCATTTTTTAAAATCTGTGTGTGTCAGTAGTGTACTGTTTCTTAACACACTTGTACTGATTTTCAAACGTGAGTATAAAATATGAACATAAATGTATACCTGTCAGCGCAGTAGCATAGCAGAAGACATCATAACGGTTTTTCTTGTCCCTGCGGCCATAGCTTCTGAGGCCTGGCCCGTTGTTGCTCCCTCCACATGGGTGCCTGGGCCTGGTGATGGGATACTGCACTGTACCATCACTGAGCCAGCCAGCATTACACCAGTCCAGGCCTCCCTTCCAGGCCTCCAGCAGCTGATCAAAGGAAGCCACCACTGCCCCCTGCTCCACACAAGCCTGCTCGGCACTGTGGAAGTTCAGGTTGTATCTGCCACCGGGTGGGGCGTAGGGGAACACAACCCCTAGGAGGAGAACAATGTTTTGATTATGAAAAGTTTAGTAAAATAATTTTGTTTATTCAACGATAATCAGGCCTACCATTGATCTCACTTTCTTTTACTTCCAGGACGACCTCATAGATCTGTTCTTCCATTCCAATGAAGATCTCACACCTGTATCTACCTGTGTCCTCTTTGGCAATTTCAGTCAAGACAAGTGATGCGTCTTCCTCATTGGCCCTCTGCAGAAATACTCGCCCGTCAAAGGTGCTATATGTCTTCACGTGAAGGCCCATTCCCACCAGAACATCTTCATTGTAATTCTCATCTTCTGCCACCTTGGACCATTTCACGCGCATCCCATTTAAGACAGACATTCCAAATCCTTCTTCATGAAGAGAATGGCAGGGGATGGTGACGTTATCTCCCTGATCAGCGTAGATGGTAACTGCAACATGGTGAGCATTGATCAGTTTTATAGATTATACAATTGCTTTACTTCCCTTGTACTACAGCATTCACAGCTGTACATTTATCCAAAGCTGTTTCTGCCTGAACTCTGATTTATGTCCAGTATGGTGCTTCGTCTCACACCACAGGTTGCATCTACACTTCCAACCTTTATGTACCGACCGCACACAGTCTGCTTGGTTTTGAAGGCCTCAATCAGCATGAGGTAGGTTTTGACCTCAACCTCAGTTACTTTGGAAAGTGTCTGCACTGCTGTTCAAGACTGGACATAGATAGCAATTCTTTTTGAATGAGTAGTTGTTGTGTCATGGATAGCCTTTACCACTGTACTAAAATATCCTGAATCTCCAACGTTTTATTTTGGTCATTTTGATGGAGATATTTTGAATATTAAGGCAATATCAACAATACATCTGGTAAACATTATAATGGAAAAATTCCATATAAATATCTGCTTTAGTATTTACAAGATAAAATACAATTTTGACTTTCTAAAATACAGTCTTCTAAAACACGTTTGTACTCTACCTTAAACATGCCAGCTGTTTTATGGGCTTTGAAAATGCCCTCTTGCTGCTAATTACAAAATTCTTCAACAGAAGCCTGGCTCACTCCTCTTTGGCCATGATGACTAACAGCTCATTTGGCCTTGTAAACCAAGACCATTGGTTGCAGTTGGACAATTTTATTCAAGCCTAAAGTAGCTAAAAGGTTTGTAACATATCCAGTACTAGTTTATGTGTTGGTTTTAAATTTAATTGATCAATTATCGTCTTTTTGGATTGGTACGGGTTTGGATCTTGCATACTTATGTCCCCACAACTCTTTAAAATTGACAATGGCCCTTGACTTATTTCTGTAGTTTGGAAACTAAACATTCTACAATAGACTTGACGAGAGAATATTACGTAAACACAAAGACCAGCTTTGAGTGTAATGATGCCCCAGAGATCTTTCGTACTTTCAGACATGTGTAAAAAGTAGTTGACACTCCTTCCTGCTGCTGCATGTCCCACAGGAGGATGTGGCCTGGTCCTGTGGGGCCCTGCTCTCATAAAGCACCAGCCTGTCTTGTGTACTCAGGCCTGGACACAGCAGAGCCTTTCTTCTGCCTGTCACACCTACCACCACTCATATTGACACAAGACAAGGAAGTCCAACACCTGCTTTACATTGACTTTGAAGAGATAATCTTCAGCCACTACTGTAGGATTAAGATAAAAACTCAGAAGAAAATGGACACTGCCGCCAAGAAGCACAGGAGATTTATGGCCCAGCACAATTGTGTCTCACTCTGTAAAAGCTTGTATTAGCTGTGATTAGAACCATGTGCTGCACTACTCTGTACAACTCAAGAAATGACCTACATTTTCACATTTGCTTTTGAAGCCCTTAGCTATTGAACCTATTGTACCTACGTCAATCTCAAAGGACATTGCATTATATTTTTATATAGAAGAAGAATACATGATATCTATGGAGTAGATTTTACACAGGAAATCTACTGCTACTCAATGTGCGTCACAAAGAACTGTGTAACTAGATAACCCAGTAGGGCAATGGGACTGCCAAAGAATGTCTCTAGTTTACTGTTAAATAAGCTCAGGGTCAGGATATTGTATTATCTATTGTATGAACGTTTTTAATCAGATGACAAAACACAATGATAGAGTTTAAATGATTTTTGACGTAATTGTATTTATTTAATAGTTAAGCTCTATATTCAACATTGAAGCCCAACGGAACTACATAGATCTGGTGGGTTAGTCCTGAGCTCCTGTGGCTATACTTCAACCTGAAAAGCATGGGTTTAGTGGTTGGGAAAACCGAAACACCCGGAGAAAACCTACTTAGATAGGGTGGAACATGAAAACTGCACTCAGAAAGGCCCTGTGCCACCTGGAAATCAAACCCTGGAAACCTCTTGCGAAGAGTCGAGAGCCTTAACCACCTTGTCGCCCAAACTTAAAACATAAATTAGTCATATTACTTCAGCAGTTGCTTTTTTGGATCACTGGGTATCACAATTATCACATAGTTATCGTTTAAAATGAGACTGGAAAACATATTGGCACCAAACAGCTGCCTAATCCTACTCTGTCCCCTGCCTCAGCTAATTTGCAGCCAAGCCCCTTTTCCCACTCAATCCTAGCAACCGGGCCAAGCCTCTGTAACCAACAACCACAGTGCACAGAAGTATTACCTCACAGGGAAAGACGGAGTCATTTGGCCGCCGTTCAGCTCCAGTGCTCTATACGTTTAGCTGCGGGTCGTTAATCTTAGTTCCATTCCTGTCACGCTGCCTTTATCCGTGGCACATTTCCAAAAGGGCTCCATTTTAGTGTATGTCACCGGCTTTAAGACTGGACACACCCATGGCTGAGAAACGCTGCTTATATGGAGTGGCGTGATGATGATGACTTTTATGTTTAAAAGTACAATGGCTACTGTTTGTATTTCCATGACATTTCTTTTCTCTATTATGTCACACAGCATATCATCTACCGTCTACTATAGTATGATTATTACTGGTTTTGAAATAGACTTTAAGCCAGGTGCCCTGTCTGAGTGCTTTGACAACCTGCATGAAAAAACAGAAATAGCAAATCCTCATACTAAGATATTGGTGCTCTAAAACAAAATGTTAAGTTTTATTTTAAATGTTGTTGCAAAAATATGTTACTACTAACCCTACTAATTCAAAAGTGTGCATTTAATCAATAACAAAATAACTATTCTACTTCTATCACTACTTCACTAAAAGTATGTTTAATCTACAATGAAAGCTTTCACCAATACTTACAGTACTTACTATTACCACTGACATGCACGCACACACAGATACAAACACACACACACACACACACACACACACACACTCACGCACACACACACACACTCGCAGCTGTTATATTACCACCAACCATTGGGACTCATTTCAATACTGGGATAAGTAACATAATCTATTTTCCCAAGTGAAAATCTTTTCTCCTCACACCAACTATTTCCCCCTGTCTTGGAAGCTGAGTCATCCCTAATTTGACATGTACAAAGCCAGCTAGCAGGAGCTGCCAAAAGCACATTAAATATCACTTAATACATGGAACATGAAGCCCTGTCTGGAAGCTGTCAGGACATCATTCAGAGCGAGAAACCATGATCCTCTGGGCAGGTGCCAATTTGACCTGTGACAAATCTCACAGGCAGCTAATACAATTTTAATGACATAACTATTTTTCATCAACATTCTTTCACTTTTCTAAACTTTAGAGACAAAGACAGTGTTTTTCAATGCATTAGAAGTGATAGTTTTATGAATGCCATGCTCCCTCTTGCAGCATCACACATGTAGGACCCGATTGTTCCTGGTTTGTTTGGTGTGATTCCACAGATGATGCCAGAATGATCTCAGGATTGGTGTACACTGATAATACCAATTTAGATAGTAATTTACATGCATATAAAATCCTTAGTCAATATTACCTGAAAACGTTGCATTCAACTCTGCCCAATTTCCATTCAGCATCACCATGATGATTGTGAAAAAAAGCAGACTCATCATTTTTGCTTTTAAAAAGGGGGCTTCTTAAATAGAAAATATTGTTTGAAAAAAAAAAACAACTATAAACATGAAATATCAGCAAGTAAGTAATTATGAGCCCCTCGTTTGTTGTGCCTGTGCTGCAGCTGTCGGTGGTTCTATTGGAAACTTTGGGCTTTTCAGAGGTCCACACAAGTGCCTTTTATTGAAGCCTAACCGGTGCAGACCACTCCCCCTCCCCAGTCCATCACCGGCTCTGTCTCCCCTTTGCCACATTATTTAGGAAACACTGTCTCGCCCTCTCCAGAGACCATAGGAAACCACAAGAAAATAAACCTGTGGTTTATGTTCCATTTTCTATACATCTGTATGAGTTTCTCTTTTAATCCTTTCGCTGCAAACACAGCCTGTTTTGAAATGGATATTCTACACAAGCATCAAAAGTCCAACATAAGTATAGTTTGAATATACATAAACCAGGCTATCAAATTCATCAAATCTGAGCCAGTCGCCGACAACGAAAGTAGATGTACTTTTGATAACCCTAATTTATAGATTCTCAGCCGTTTGAACAGTAAGTTAGGCTTCGTAATTTAATGCATGTATTTTTATTCTGATTAATAATTGTTGTTATTCTGTTGTTGGTTTGTTGTTGTTCTTTGTTCTTGTTTGTCATGGGTTGAAATAAAGAACTAATTAATTAATTCATTCATTATTTCAACCATTGCCTTCTGAAAAGACTACTATCGATGACTATACCGTTGCAATAAAGTATTAGGGCTTAAAAATAATGCATCTAGTAGTGTAAAAGTCAAGTTCTGATTTGAGTTTATGAACAATGTGTGACCCTTAAATATAAAAAAGCTCATAAAAATGATCCACTGTTTGTTTGCACTAACAAATTATACTTTTTCCCACTCTCCTAAACTGTCTGGGCCCCTGGGCTTCCTCTCTTCACTCGACGCACCTACACAAGATACAGGCCTGTGTTAAAAAGAAGGATTTGTGAGCGCTGTGTGGTCTTTGCAAAATATTTTCACAGCTGTCCACATTGTCTTTGTGAGATGGCAAGGCTGTCCAGCGTCACTCTATTACTTGAGTTATCTCAGCTGGGTCTACTGCACTCACTGGAACTAACAGGACCTAACTGAGAGCACAATAAAATAATAACTTGCCATACTCTTGTAGATTACATAATATGTCCACATACTGTATAATACTGTCGGTTAGCCAGGTTCAACTAAATGTATACAATTTATTGTTTTGCACTATATGAATTTATTATTCTGCCATGAACGGTGGAAACATGGTGATGCAGGTTGGAATCAACTAAGCATTTTCTCCATTCAAACCATGTACTTGTTATTTGTTGGTCTGTAAAATATGCGTTATGCAGGTTTGAATTAAATAATCTAATTTAATCTAACATTGATGTCTTTGCAAGACAATTCTACTACTCCTCTACATGAATATGGCCATACAATGACTGAAAAGGTTGTATTTTGGCTTCACAGCAAAAAGTTGCAGGTTTTTCAATTCCTTTGCAGACCTGGACGTTTCTTTGTGGAGTTTGCAGATGTACTTTGGTGCCGTGGGAGACTTGTACACAAGCAGAACTCTTTCAAAGTCTGTTCCCTGAGCCACAAGAAGCCAGTGCAGACACCTGAGAACTGGACTAATGTGTTAATAGGTTTCGAGGTGCAGCGTTTTGAATGTACTGCGGCTGCAGTTTGTTACAGCAGTCTAACCTACTGACAAATGCATGGATAAGAAAGTACCAGTCGGCTTTAGACACTACATTTTAGTTAGATAGTAATAATGATAAAAGACAAACTCAAACAATTAAGTATCTAAACTTCTGTTACATTCTCAACGCTATTGACTGATTCCCTGTCCAGAGCCACAAGTACAGACTCTGTAACATGCAGCATCTGGAAAAACTCTGACGATATCAAAGGTTCACACCAACCTTAAATGTCCCCCTTTAATAGCATGATTACTGTACGCTTCCCTCTCAGACAAGTCCAACGCGAGTCTGGCAAACACGTGTCTGTATCCACTCTGTGTACCACTGTTTACACCTTCAGGGCCCTTTTACAAAGATATTCTGATGAAAGCCCTAACCAGAACACACAATACAGCACATTACTTGGCCAAACTATGGTTGCCAAAGTATGATAAGATTTTGGAAGCTACATGATGTAACAGTAAATATTTGGGGAAAGGCTGTAATTAGATTTGAAAGGCTTTTGGCCGTTTGGCCAAGACAAACTCTTGTGATTGCCAATTTGGAAGATAAAGCCAATTTCTCCTGATCACACACAGGCAGTGAAATCTTGTATAAGTTAACTGGAGGATTTTACCCACTATGCATATTTTGAATTGAAAGCCAGAGTGCCCAGAGATGGAGAAAAAGATGAAGTCCACATTGAAAACCCTATAGTCCAGAGCAGCCTGTGACCTTCTTACTACAATGCATCCAAACCTATTTAAAACATTATTTGAGGTTGGGGGACTGTATCCAGAGAAGACATGGAAAAATGAGTAAAAGGAATATGCAATATGCTAATGAAAGTATGGATAACATGGATAGCAGAATATACTGCAAATGTTCAACCGATATTTCAACATCTCTGCAGCAGAGACCTAAAGGAAACTCGAACTTGTCTTGCTGTGCAATATTGCAATATTATGCAATATTAGAAACTGTCATGGGATAAGAAATGTACAGTTTAGAGGTAATATAAAATTCTCAGCAGACAATAGGTGTCTATTCAAGAACGTTTAGGAGGACAGAATGAATGTATTTTGTACAATGTCGAGACACTGAGAGAGTTCCACCCGAGGTCCTTGCCTGGGTCCTTTGCTACATCTGGGCCAAGTCTCTGAGCCATGAGCACATCCACAGCTGGCGCTCTGTAGCTTCAGCTCCCATATCCCAAATAGTCTATAGATGCTCCATAGGTCACAACAATAACCAAATGGACAAGAAGGGGGGTTATTTAATACACCAGACCATAAGGAATTGCTGAACAAGGGATATGTTGAAAAAACATGTGCTTTTCATTACTCTCCCTCTGGTGCAACACGTGACAAAATTGGAAATTGCTGAAGGTGACGTTAGCTTATTTGCTCATTGCTTCTGGTAACGCACAGCAGCTATGACTCCACAAGGGTCTGGGTTTTTTTTTAACTGGGTGGGATGGGAGGTGGGGAATGGGTTCTGACGCAGTGCAGATGTGTCATGGCGTCCTCAATATCTGATCAAGGGAGGTTCTCACAAGAGTATGTTTCATTGGAGACATTATTGAGGGTGTGAGCTGTCGTTGTGATTTGAAACAGCTTGACACTGAGTTGAGGCCAGTTTTGGTACCATATGCTGTGACTTCCATGGTGCCAGATTTGTTGGGTATGATGAGTGACTCACTTACGAAGGACATTGTGTGACTTAAAAGTGGCAAAGTCTTGATAGAGGATCAAATGTACTCAATCTGACAATGTTTTTGTTTATTACATTGACTAAATGAATACATCTACATTGCATTGCCTAAGAGAATTCACCGGATTGCTGCAGAAGCTCTATCTATTGATAATTGATTTCTGTCACTGATTTGACCATACAACAATTACAAAAACAAAAACTCCCAAAGAACATTTAAAAGGCACCAGATTTACTACGTACACAAATACATTCAGGTCAACACTATTGAACGTACACAACAGTTACTTATTGTAAAGCTCCGTTCCATATGACAAACAAAACAGGCATTTGTTGTTTTGCAATCTTGAAGTGGCGTTTTACCAAGCTCACAGCGGGGGGCACATGGGTGTGTTCAGTAATGACCGCAGCTGTACGGAACAGTGGGAGAGTTGCCACAGTGACGGCAACTGAACACACACAGTGCAAACAGTCTGGAACATCACAATTCTTATGCTCAGTTTAATATAGATTCGGGGTGCCCAAACTATTTGACTCAGCAGTCCATGTACAATAACCCGAGAGATAAACTTGTATTTATGTTTGGCTTACAAAGTTAAGATGTAAGCCAAAACGGAATTCATTAATCTTCTTCATCGTCTTACCTCCTCTTCGCAGCAAGAAGGTCCTGGGTTTCCCATAAACCACTAAAAACATGTACAATAGGTTTGGCATGCACCTCCTGTGTCCTTTGTGATTCTGTCTGTGAAACAGACAGAATAAATATGACTTAGTTATGTATTGTATTTGATCAGGATGAATAAGTGTGGACCCTTTCATCTCCTGTTCAGTCTTATTGGAAACAAGATCATGTTAAACTCTGTTTTATTATTCATTGTCATATATTCCTTTTACACTTCAATATTTTACTTTTATAGTTTTAGCACCTCCAGTGTTCCCTCTGGAGGGGCTCACTGCACTGTGAGCGGTGGTCCGCTGTGGGGTCTGACTTATGGACCTGGTGGAGGTTTGGAGCCTCTGCTTCTTCTCTCCTTGGGTGGTGAGTCCAAAGGAAGATGGCTGCTACATCAGTGGTGCCACAGGCAATGTGGGGTTAAGTGTCTTGCCCAAGGACACAACGACAGCAGACATTAGTGGGATCAGTTGGAGTAGGTCCCGTGGTGGGTTCGAACCCACGACCTTCCATGCCAATGTTCTACCAACTGAGTGGTTTTACCTCTATTGTTCTTATTTCAAGCAGTATTTGTATATGAAAAGTTATTTATAAGTACAAGCTGATTGATTGAAATCCCAAGACTCCAAACTTTGAGCACCACTCATTAAAATTACAGCAGGACATGTGATGACCGGTGTAGTGGAAATGTGTATTATGTGTCACAGAATGGATTATTTAAATTCATTGTTCATCAAAAGATGCTTCTGCCTGCTATAGAGCTTAAATCTATGAAAAGGTATCATATTATTATATATTTAGGATATTTTAAATCAATATTATGAATCTAAAACTACCACAGTGGAAACCTGGGCTCCCCTGGTTTAAGCTTTTTGACTT